CATGATCTGCTTAACAATAGCGAAATGATGGCCATTTTAAGGCCGAAAATGCATCAAAATCACGTATTTCACAATTCCAGAACCGGATCTCAGTCATGCATGGATGGATTTTGTTCAGATTTAGCACAATGTGTTGTACATATGCAGGTGCATTTCGGTCATGATCTGCTTTGAATGTATACATGTATGTCACTCAAATATGAACAGAACGGGGACGTGTCATTGACAATGACTTGTACAATTTCAACTTCTTCTTCGAAACCGCAAGTCAGAATGTTTTTAAATTTGATATGCAAGTACCTTGGATGGTTCTTTCTCAGATTTGTTCATTTCATGATGATATCTTTAATTCTTTAATTTTGATGAATATTTTTGTAATTTTTGGTAAAAAGTGATATTTTCGACTTGTTAAAAACCAAAAGTTCAATTGCTTTGATAATATACATATATAGGTACTACATGTGGACCTCTCTCAGATTTGTTCATTTTGTGATGATATCTTCAATTTTCTAATTTTGGTGAATATTTATGTCATTTTTGGTAAAAAGTGATATTTTTGAATTCCTGTTGAAAACAGCAAGGCCGATTGCTATACATACTATACATATTGTTCATTTTCTAATGATATCTTCAGTTCTATAATTGAAATGTGCCTTGCTAACAGCGGAGCTATCTCAGCCGAGAGGCTGCTTGTTAGTCGCGTTCGGACGAAGTCCGAAAACGGGGACTTATAATTCGGTGTCCGTCCGTCCGTGCGTCCGTCCGAAGTCATATCTCAGAATCCCTTGGACCGATTCCGTTCATTCTTTGCATGTCCTTAGTACCTTATGTGGCAGCCATCTTGTTTTTTGAAAATGTTGTATTTTGGACATGCTTTGTCAGTTGTCATTCAAACTTGGTACATGGATTATACATGTTAGGATACATGTCCATAACGATTTATTTCGCAATTGGATCAAAGATGGTCGACTGGCAGGCATCTTGTTTTTGTTTTTTTATGCGGTATCTTGGACATGCTCTGTCAGTTTTCATTCAAATTTGGCACATACATGTACTTTATACATGTTAGGATGCATGTCCATGACAATTTGTTTCAAAATCTGGTCAAGGATGGCCGATTGACAGCCATCTGACTGTTTGGCCTTACTACTATATTTCCACAATTTATGTATCATTTTCATTCGTATTTGACACATACATCATACATATCAGTGTGTTTCATAATCAGATCAAAGATGGCTGAATAATGGCTGTTTTTATTTTGGCCATATTATACGACACGAAACACGTGTTTTGATGTAAATAAACAATCTGTTGTATACGCCACTTGGAACTCAAGTTTCAAGGACACACTCGCGACAACCCCTCCACTTTAATATGACGAGCACAAAGAGAACTTAACAGGGACTGTGTCATTTTCAATGACTTGTTATAAATACATTTTGCCGTTTGTAACACACTCTTTACAACATATTATTGTTAAATTTGATAATATATTTGTAGCTTTCATTCCTGATATTGAGTAACATCTGTTTTTGTCTCCTCTCAGAAATTTTCAGTTTGTGGTCCAGTAAAACATGTGTCAATTTCGAAGAAAAAAGACATGAAGCAACCGGGTGAGTCAAATTTGAAAATAAAATTTGAAAATAAATATGCATCCAGAATAAGTTTGCTAATTTAATTAACCTCCGTATGAAAGTTTTATGATTGAACTTTGATTATTGAACCTTGATGCACCAACTTTTTTCACCGTTCAAAAAAAAAAAACCCACATAATTTTTTCAATATTTTTATCAATTTTTTTTTTTCATCAAGAATCATAGCCAATAGGAAATTATGAAAAATACATAACTATAGGCAAAATGTTTTTCCCAAATTTTAGTGGAAAAGATTATTTATTTTGTTGTTTTTGTTTTACTGTAGACTACTTTATTTTCGCTATTTTCACTGGAGGGATGATTCCGTGAAAATAAAATCCAGCGAATATATTTTTTTTCCTATATTTCACATTAAACTGATCAAAAATCAGTGAAAATAAATTCCATACAAAACGCTCAAAAAGCCTTTTCAGCAGAAATTAATTCCAGCGAAAATAAAGTATTCCACAGTATCACTGTAAAATTATCGCGGTTGCACCTCCTTGTTGGAGTTGAGTTGCATTGCATTGTCCATCCATCCCTGCTGCAATATGGATTGGTCCAAGAATAGATTTGATCATAATTCAGCCTTAGTAATATAGGAAAATTGTCTGTGAATAAGTGCTCTTCTTTGTTAACTAGCGCCCATGACTTAATCCAAAAGTTTGCTGGCATTTGCAATTAAGAGGTCATCACCAGATACCTCTTATCCCTAGATCTTGAGACGTCATGAGTCGGCCACGCCTCCAGTCAAGTTTTTGCGAATTGTCTGTCTTTACTTTTACTTATCTATTTGAAGGCAAGTTTTTATCAATGGGATATGGTTTTGTTGAGTATAAGAACCGAGAAAGTGCCAATAAGGCACTGAAAGTACTACAACACTGTATGCTGGATGACCACCAAGTTGAATTGAAGATGTCAAACAGAGCAACAGTACAGTAAGTAATCCTGCCACCATTTGAACAAATTCTTATTGACAATAGTTTTTTTTTTGTCATTGTTTAGAAAATAAACCAAAAAGTCTAAAACTTGACGGGACAGGTTATTACTATTATTATTGGGGCAGTACAGCTGATGATGAACTAAGCTGAATTAATTTAAAACCATTTGGACATACTGATTTATACCTCTGCATATTAAATCAATCTCTGATCCAAAATAAACTAGCAATGATAGAATCGTTAAATAGTTGAAGTGTTATGTCATGACTTGGTATATTCACCCCAAAGGTCACTGTTATTATTTCATAGACCAAAGCCAACGAGTACAAGGAAGAAACAAGTCACCAAAAAACAGAAATCCACTAAAATATTAGTTCGAAACTTGCCATTTGAAGCGACCAGAAGAGAAATACAAGAACTTTTCAGGTATTTACGTTGAATCCTCGTGTAAAAGTAAGGTCTTCTCATTTTGCAGACGTGATGCATTCTGGGATATGTATGTATGTCTAAATTGAGCATGTGTTTTTCACCCATTTATTGTAAAGAGTTGGGACACTAGTGCGTTGTCATGGCATTCTACCAGTAGCTGTCTTCGCCTAGCTGTAGTGTTGATCTCAATGGTTCAGATTGTTTTCACATCATTAGTTCCTGCTCTGTAACGCGCATATGTACATGCATTCATGCTTGGATCAATCACATTCAAACTTCACACATACATTTTAATAGGCTTTTTTGCGATAAATATGCATGTGCATTTGTTTCTCAATCTGAATTCAAGATGGCTTATTGGCGGCCATTTATGTGCAAAAAAAATTATCAAAATCAAATATTTCTGTCATCCCAGAACTGCAATTTGTTTGTTTGATTGAAATTAAAAATGGCCTACTGGCGGACATTCTGATTTGATGAATGTTGCAGCGCCATGGACTATACTCTACTCTGATTTGTTCTCATCAATCAAGTTCAAACTTCATTTACACATATATGCACATGTATCTGTTTCATGGTATAATTCAAGATTGTTCAATGGAAACCATTTTAATGTTCAAATCTCATCAAAATCAAGCATTTCTGCCATCGCAGAACTGGATTTTAGTCATACATGGACAGATTTCATTAAAACTTGGTACTTATATTACACATTTAAAAAACCTTGATTCGCATATTTTATTTTCAGATTAGATTCAAAATGTCTGACTGGTGGGCTTTTTGATTTAATGAGTGCTTTTTCAGAGCCTTATCTCTGACATAACTTGATATGTTCAAACTTATATTTTTTAAACTTAATGATAACTCATGAAGTCTAAATAATATAATTACATGTTTGTTTTTGTAGTACATTTGGCGAGATTAAATCCATCCGTATTCCAAAGAAAGCATCTGGTACACACAGAGGATTTGGGTTTGTTGATTTCCTTACAAAGCAAGATGCCAAGGTGAGGGAATGAAGGGGTGAGGGGGAAATTACTGCTGCAAAGATTGTTATTTTTGTGAGGAAAATTTTTAACATTCCTATAATTTCAGTTGCATGTTTATTTTACACTTCATGTGTTGTATCATGGAAGGTAATAGGAGAGAAGAGAGGATGTTATTGTTCTTCCCTGTTCCATAATCACTTTGATTTCTTTACTTGGTGAACATTCTCATATTACATGAAATTACATGAATTTATTACATTCCAGTCGGCTCAGAAACAGTCACAATTTTCACAATTGATACCAAAATCACACAACATGACCAAGTCACAAATGCTTGTAAAATATACACAGTGTTCATGTTAAAAATCGTGATCCAATAGCAAGTTTCCATGATACTACCAGAATTATATTTATAAGTTGGTTTGTCAAGAACAGACTGAAAAAAATGGCAAAACCTGCAAAACTAAAAATCTTTTTTTTTTTTCAATATCTCACATCATAGCGCATGTGATCGACTGAGCTTATTCAATTGCTGAGCTGATTTTTAAATTTCCATTTCTTGACTGGTGTTATTACTATTTATTGAAACGGTTAACTTTTTATTGTGCTGAGGATTCACTGTGATGTGACTCAGGAACTCGCAAAACCAGTTGACATATTGTTTATTCAGTCATTTTAAATTTGAGCTTAGTGGCACTACTTTTTACATATCAATACACTTGGGTGACCAGGCGACATATAACACTGTTACAAAAGAATGTATTCTGATGCATAAAAGAAAGTCCTAAAATATCACATACACAATCACATTATTTTGTAATTTCATCTTTTTTTAAATAAAAACAATTCACAGTCTTCTTTGATGTATTCCCTTCACAGAGGGCGTTTAGTGCTCTTTGCCACAGTACTCATCTTTACGGAAGGAGGCTCGTCTTGGAGTGGGCCGATACTGACTCCGACTCTGTGGACGCACTAAGAAAGAAAACAGCAGCACATTTTCATGATGGTTAGTAACAAAAAAAAATATTTTTTTTTAAGTTGGGACGCAACTATTGCGACAGTTTAATAGTGAAGCTTGGGTCTTGGTTGTTGTACTTTGGTCCTTTGGCATAGAGGGCGCTTCACACATGCATTCAGTCATAAGCATAAACAGTTCAATATAAATTGGTATCCATGGTGATCTCACATTCTTACGTTTGTCTGTCAAAACATTTTAGATTTACCGAATAAAAGACTCAAGAAATCCAGTGTGATGGAGGATTTACTGAAGACAAGTGAAGTCACAGAGGACAGCTAACAAAACGAGGTAATGAGTGAATGAATTTTTTGCAGAAGTATTACCCCCGGTATCAAAGGCGGAGCTGCGTCATGAGAAGTTCTACGTTGTTAAGACGCACACCACTGTACCATGTAATTCTATGGGCTCTGCGCGCGCTGCTGTGGAACGTCGGTTGAAGAGCCGGTGAAAATAGCTAAATTCGAGAAAACAGTAGAAAGTCAACTTTGAAGTAATCCTCAGCAACCAACTTTATATATGTTACACACGCAGGTGTAATCTTGTTACACTGTTCAAAGGGGTCTCAACAACCATCCTAAAGTACTGTTTTCTGTGAGTTTTTGGCCTGGATGTCCACCCCTGAGAATTGATAAAGAGTCAAGGACGCTCATCTGCGAACTCATTCTTATCTTAAAGACACATGATTATTATGTAACTGCTTCATTTGTATGGTTTAGTTTCCTTTTGATCATCAGCGGAAAATTATGCCAAATTACATCAGAAAAATTAATAATAACCTCAGTATAAAATAAAACCTCTGGTATGCAATTTATTTTTTTTGAACACTTGGTGGCGCTATACCTGGTTGACTGTTTTCTTTGACATTTTAAGCAGTCGATAGTGAAAATAATTCACAGCTCAGTTAAAGTTGTTGGCTTGCTGAATCATCAAATGGGGTTGTTGTATTTATTACCAGGTAGTCAATCAAACTACTTTTTGAATATTGCAAGTATCGAAAACATAAATCTACATTCCTTGAAAATTATACCAAGAATGACCTGAAATTTTTAAAAGAAATACTGCTTTAATATTCTATTCAATTTTTTTTATTGTTGATACCATCCTACCACATTTATTTTTTTTCTATATTCTATCTGTTTAACATGTCATATTTTTTAAATAAAAAAAAATAAAATAAAAACAAAAGTAATTTTTTTAATAACTAGTGGTGGCAGCATTATTGCTTACTGCATACTGCTGATCTGCATTGACCTTCGACCTTCTCTGTTGTCAATCAGTTGAGAGTGCCTCTTTTTGGCTCTGATTACCATACTTTCCTAATTTCACCACTAGAGTGCAGCAGACTGGCTGACTATTAAATGTTTACAGCTCCAATACAAAGATTAATAGGCAGTTGTGAAAGAATAGTTCATGATGTACTGGTGTGTCTCGGAGGAGGCATTTCCTCAAACTGTGGGCAGTAATGTCTCCCTTCATTGTCAACCCACTTATTCATGATTTTTTATCGCCTAGCGTAAATTTTGATGGCTTTAGTTGTAATTTATGATGGCAAAGCCAAGGTTACTGTATGATATCACGTCAATATCTCTCTCTATCGTTGTAAATCAGCAATTGACGACAAAAATAAAACCAAAAAAATATGTCCAAATTTTTATCTTTTACATTATATTTAACGACAGAATTAATTATTTTTTGATATTTTACGACCAAGGAGAAAAATAAAAAAAATGAATAGAAAAATATGTAATTAATGTTTAGCAATTAGCTATATGTCAATTTGGATTCTTAAGAAATTTGCATTTTAATACGCATGTTTTGAAATTCCAAAACTCTAATTATAACTCACATAACCATATAATAAGTATTAGTTCCACATTCTGTCCATCCAGGTGGAAAAAAATATATTAAAAGAGCGTTAAGTTTCGAGTATTAAGCAATTTTACATTAAAGATTTAAGTTTTATGCTCTGTAATCTGATGTATTTTTTGATTATTTGGTACTATTGATCTGTTAGCCCTGAGAGGTCCTTCTATTTAGCTGAACTACGGGCATATATGCATTGCCGATATGTGCTCAATTCTCATGAAGGTCAGCGGTGAAACAAACTGCTGAAAATAACCATTGTTTTTTTTAAATTAACTGGATTTGTAAAGAAAAAAAGGAAATGAAGAAAAAAACATAAAAAATTGAAATTGTTTTTCCAAATGTTCTGCTGTTATTTTCTGAGCGTTTAATCAGGTTGGTATGCTGCGTTGATCCGATGCAACTGCAGCCCAACATAAATTTCTCGTATTGCATGTACCAAATGAGGAAATTCACCAAACACTTGTCTTGCAGTTTATTTCTTGTTTGAAAATAATTATTGAGTTAGGGATATTTTTTCTCCTCTCTGGTGTATACAAAATTATCAGCTGATCAGGCCACCTGAGCAAGTGAGCCCATGTCAAAAACACAGCCTTGATATAACATGCAATAAAACTTAATATGTATTTTGCCTTGTATGTCTTTTTTTTTTTCCATAATTGCCCCCACCCTCCTTACTGTTACATGAAAACAATTCTTCTGATCAGAATTGGGTCTTGGGTTCCTTAATCAGTGTCCTCATCGCGTACTTTTCCGCTTTGTATTTCAGTATGACTGTAAATAGCTACATAAATATATTACACATCTCGTACCATGCGAAGTCTATCATGCGTGTAGTTAGCTGCATATATCACCAGCGTTGCTTGAATGTTTTGTGTTCATGTCCATTTCAATTCTGCTGAAATCTCTAGCCAGTATATTAATGAGGTAGTTGTCAGTGATAAGGGCTATGTTGTCAATGATGTGCCTACCCAAGCATAACTTTCCTAATCCACCTTGAGTGCGCTCTTCTCACATCAGATTGTGCACTATTGATGCTCAGCATCTCTTTTACTCTCATAGACATGCACCTCTATTTTGTGTCTATTTTAGATGCATGTTTATTCTGCTACTTTATGTCTATTTCAGGTAATAACATGTTCATTCCCTACTCTGTGTCTATTTCAGTTTTACATGTTCATTTTGCTACTTTGTGTCTATTTCAGCTACATGTTCATTTTGCTACTTTGTGTCTATTTCAGCTACATGTGTATTTTGCTACTTTGCATCTATTCCAGTACATTTCTTTAATGTTGCCCATTGTCTATTTCTGATGCATGTCTATTTTGTTTCTTTGTGTTTCAGCTACATGTACCTGTTCATTGTGTTAAGTGTCTATTTCATATGCATGGTTATACTGTCACTTTTTTTCTGTTTCAGTTACACGTTCATTGTGTTTCCAAATTGTCTTTGTCAGATAGTGTCTTTTTTTGCTGCATGTGTCTATTTCAATTACTTGTCTATTTTTCTACTTTGTGTCTATTTTAGTTACATGTCAATTGTGCTGCAGAAAGATGCATGTCTATTTTGTATCTATTACAGATTTTTGTCTATTCTGTTACTTTGTGTATATTTCAGTTCAATGTCCTTTTCGCTGTTGATTGTCTATTACATGTCTATTTCAATACATGTATGCTTATAATGCATTACTTGACTAAATTGGCACATTTCATCTCAGCGTCTATTTCTGATACGTGTTGAATTTCAGATATGTGCATACTATTTAAATATTGTGTTGTCTGGTACTGTCTGTTTCAGGCACAAGTGCATGTGTTCTGTTGCAAAGTGTCCATATTTTTTATATATTTTCAGTGTTCTCATCAGACATGAAACATTTGCCTCATGGTTTCATTTTCTTTCCCAGGTTTTTTTTTTTACTCTCATTAGACGTATTGTCTCACAAAAATGTAAGAAAATATAAGTGACATAAGTGTGGAATAAAATTTAAACATAATAAACATTTGAGTACATTGTCTCCACAATAAGGAGAACCAAATACTTCATTTCTGTCTTTAGTTTCACATGGATGGGTGATTGTCTCTTACTTTTTAAAATGATGGAACAATCCCCCCCCCCCCCTATATTTTAAATTTGTTGCAACAACACTGTATCTGATAAATTTCTTTTATACTACCTATTGTTGATTTCTGATAAATTGTCACCAAGTTCCTATTTTACCTCTGTACAAATTCACATGTTTCGTACATTTCTGGTGTTTAATTTGTTCTCTCAAAAATTCTTATTCCATTTGTATGCATTTCACCAACTGCGCTATATTTCCTTTATTAGAAGCACGCTTCCAGCAGAAAATTTATCTTGACCTTTTAGGTCACTATTTCATGATATTTCGTCCAAATTTTCTAATGTGAATTCTGGCTGAACTATATCAAAATATGACAGAAGATGAGCTTAGTTGTAGTACATATACAAATTCGTTATGTAATTCTGACAGAAAAAATATAAAACTTAGATGTAGTTGTTGCTTTGAGATAAAACGAAATGCTACATTGTGTCTATTTCACATACTACTTTGTTTCATTATTATTCTCTGCGTCCTATTCAGTACCATTTCCTGTGTTCAATTTCTTTTTCTCATCTTATCTATTTCAGTGACATCGTGACTTCATTGTTTAATTGGCCCGGTTTGTACACAGTGTGGTATACAATATGTATAAGCATTGCTATTAACGCTATGATTTGTTTCGCCTTTTGACAGCACTAATGTTTGTTTCATTGTTGCTTCACCACTCCAATCATCAATGATGGGTTATGATGATCTTTTAACAAAATTGTGCAATAATCTCCACACACACACACACGCATACACACACACACACACACACACACAGTGTATTATTTATGAGTGTATTTTCCGCTCTCTGGCTTTGTGAAATATACATGGTGTACATTTCCTGGTTTATAACAAGTACCCATTTCATTTCTTTCTGATTACACCTTGTGTCTTGAATATTTAAGTTATAATGAACTGTGGTGGATGTTGCCGTTGATGATGATGATGATGATGATGATGATGATCTTTTTCACTCTTCTCTCAGAATAGTGAGTCTGTTCAGTCATACATTGAGCAATTCGTTGTGGTTTTTTTTCAATGTTAACAACTATTTTGCAATTTTTGTTGCCTTTCATAAAATGAACTTACATTTTTTTTTTCCAATTGTCTGATCAATACAAGTAGGTAATGGAAATTTATGCCAATTTGGTTCACAATTAACAATGAAATTATAGAAAAATACGAAAAATATACCAAATTTTGGCGGGAAAAATTTTGCATTCAAGAGGTCAAAAATAATTTGTGATGTTTTTTTTCTCTTGAAATTATTTTTACTGATTCATAATCTTGAGCTTATTATAGTTGTTGCATGTAACTCTGCTTTTCAAAATTTGTTTTCATATATTATTAAATTAGATTGTTTATCATTTATATAATTAATAGCTTTTCTTACTCTAATGCATATTTTCTGTAATAGTTATCACCTAAAAAAAACGTCATGTGAAATACTACACACCTTCAAATGATTAGTTTTCAGAAATTCTTTTCAAAGGAACTCATCACGACATTAATTAGCTTATCGATACCAACGACTCACCTCCAGTATGCTGCCCTCCGGTGACAGGCACCTCACTCATTTCTTCGCAGTGGCTGACCCTTTGGTTGGCATATCAAGCCAAAAGGTGGGGGGAGGGTGATATTACAATGTAAACTTCACCCCCAAGTGAAACAAATTGGCTTGGGATTTAAAGTAAGTTTGTATAAATAAATAATGAGCCAATCACGAGATATCGGTCGATATTGCCTCTGTCGCTATGTTTTATCTTAAAATATCTAGTGGACCAAGAATACATGTCTGTGCGTCTTCAAGCCAGGAACTAAGCATGAATGGTGTTATTTGTAATTAGTCGGGTTATTCTACCGAGGATTGAGATGTTATCTGGGTGTCACATTCTGTCAAGTACTGGTCAGCCTTCAATGAATGTGAAATCTACATATGGCAACGGGCTTGTTGAAGATGATAAATACAATAAATACGAAAACAGTCAATCCTGCATATTACTTCTGTTTGAAGACTTCCTCTTCACCAACAGTATTGCATTTCCTGTTGGATGGATTTAAATGCTTTTTAATTTCAGAACTGTGTATGGTCTTGTAAGCTGAGTTATAATAGACGAAACAAACAAAAAAGCCATGAAAATAAATAATGAATAAATAATTTCCCAAAGCCAGAATTTTTTTTTTTTCAAATTAGGAGGAGTATCCCCCATTGTGAACACCTTAGCTGGTTTATTTCAAAATTTTACAAATTTTTAGATTTTTTTTTTTATTTTTTCTCAGTAATTACTAAATAATTTCCAAGTTGTCATACAGATTGTGAAACTCACAAAGTTCGCTTCACTGGTCACAAATATGGAAAATTTAAAACACAAACCACACTAATTATAGATGTATATTTCACATAAGATACTAGTTTTCTTTTCATAATGCAAAATTCCCTTTATGCCCCCAATATTGACAAAGTATTTTTTAAGCTTACTCAGATTATGTTGTCATTTGATATTCTGGTAATTTATAGTAACCATAAATAAGTGTTATCAAAATCTGCAGTTGATGTGTTTGTATATAAAGACCATAGACGCACAAATATGATACGACATCTATATTTTGCGCATTCATGTTTTAATGCTCTTATGCTTCTAATGGAGTAAATACTGTACCATAATGTCCAACGAAAAATTTGCAGTTATTTTCAGTGTTCGAAACAGAAAAGTTGGTTTGTTCATAATCCAATATTGCAATTGAAACAGGAGGAAAAAACTTCGAACAAAGCGGAATATTTCAACAGGTGCAACAAATTTCGTTGAATTTTTTCCTCCTCAAATTTCAGCAGCATTAGCAGCAGTGACCCATTTCCATGGAAACAATCGATTACACAAATTGCCTCCACAAATTGCTTCTGATTCTTTGCCCGCCTTGCTGGCAGCCATCTTGGAATGAAAATTAAAATTTACTGTCTTTTAAATTCACGGTACATTTTTTTTCACTGAAATTCTAATCACTACGAAAATAGCTTGCAACTTTCAGATAATTTGTCTAAAATATAGCTTTTAATTAAGATTTTGAATTTAATAGGCAGTTGTCAAAAATCAATAAGTAATAAATAAATACATTATTTAACTTTACGTATTGTTACTATTTTTAAATTTGTTCTTTTAAATTTTCAATTATTAATTAGACTTTCAACTATTATCCAACAAAACATTGGATTGTTATCTTCTTATTTACGATGCGTCACTATACACTAAAGATAATTACTCTCTCCTGTGAATGACAAACTCCGCAAGGGTCACTACCATGATCACTAGATCGCTCCTGGGGATTCCTGACCAAAATTGTTTTTGAAAACCTAGTGTTTTTTTTTTTTTTTACTGCTTCATTACAACTTAGTCATCCTGAGGATTTTTTTAAACTGCAGATAAAAAAAAAACGCTTCCAGTCGGCTGAGAAATATTTGATTATTTACCGCCGGGTTTCTGATCACAGACTTGTTAAACAAAATGTACAGCACACCTGCCCCATCCATCAGCCATTTTTCCACCTTCTGATTACCGTCATCATGAAACCTTAGCGATAACAAACCGACAACGGTACTACATACAACACACCATTTTTTTTTTTTTATCTTTCCGGGCCATTAGCCTTGGATAGTCGTAAGTGAGGTTAATAAAAAGCCCAGCTGATATGCATCTTAAACTCCAGTTTGCGAGATAAAGCAAAGCAAACGACAACAACGCTTGATGGATAGGGGATTGATAGTGACAGGGGTTTGTCAAGTTTCACTAATACCTTGTCGCCGTCTTGGTTTTATTTTATGCGACAATGATTACTACTTTATCAGTGAGGAGATGCGGTAGTGTTTCTAATTACTTTATTATTCACGTTGAAGCGTCATCTTTCTTGTCCTCCTTCTCTTGTCGTCAATTAGAACGAGAATCCTGTCATTCATGAGATTACGATTCAAATTGGATTCTTGATTTTTGACACCCCCCCTAAAAAGTGTAACGTACCACTGCAAGTTTTTTCTGCCTTAAAGTTTTGTGAGTTTCACACATGACAACAGTTTGTCTATTAATTGGTAGTAAAGCCTTTGCAACAGTTTGCAACATATATGGTAGTTTCATTCTTGGCAACCATCTCTATGGTAGTTTCATCCTTAGTAACCTTCTCTCCTATGTTAGTTTCATTCTTGGCAACCAACTCTCCTATGGTAGTTTCATCCTTAGTAACCATCTCTTCTATGGTAGTTTCATCCTTAGCAACCATCTCTCTTATGTTAGTTTCATTCTTGGCAACTATTTCTCCTTTGGTAGTTTCATCCTTAGCAGCCATCGCTCCTATGTTAGTTTCATTCTTGGCAACCATCTCTCCTATGGTAGTTTCGTCCTTGGCAACCATCTCTCCTATAGTAGTTTCAACCTTGGCAACCATCTCTCTTATGGTAGTTTCATCCTTGGCAACCATTTCTCCTTTGGTGGTTTCATCCTTGGCAACCATTTCTCCTTTGGTGGTTTCATCCTTGGCAACCATTTCTCCTTTGGTAGTTTCATCCTTGGCAACCATTTCTCCTTTGGTAGTTTCATCCTTAGCAACCATTTCTCCTTTGGTAGTTTCATCCTTAGCAACCATTTCTCCTTTGGTAGTTTCATCCTTAGCAACCATCTCTCCTATGGTAGTTTCATTTTTGGCAACCATCTCTCCTATGGTAGTTTCATCCTTGGCAACCATCTCTCCTATGGTAGTTTCATCCTTAGCAAGCATTTCTCCTATGTTAGTTTCAACCATCTCTCCTATGTTAGTTTCAACCTTAGCAACCATCTCTCCTATGTTAGTTTCAACCTTGGCAACCATCTCTCCGATAG